GTCGACTTGCCAGAGAAACAATCAAATTCAGCTTAACGACAAGCACTTGATTCGCACGAGGTCCTTTCGCCTCAAGCCCGAAAGGATGCAGCAGCCCTGAAAGGAAGTGCTGACCAAGGGAATTCCCTATTTCTCTTCCAGTTCCCCCCAAAGGACGATTAATCAGAAAGCCAAGCCCAAGTGACTGATTTTTTTCAATAAATATATATATATTCAAGTGCTTAGTGTTTTCGGGCAACTTTGAATAGAGTTTGGAATGAAAGTCCTTTAACGGGCTGCACTTAAGCCCGAAAAGATCAACCAAGTTCCCTGTTCAAGGATCCATAGCTTCTGCTGAATTATGGCAGAGTGTCGCCGAGGAGATAATAAACCTCTTGTCGTTCAAGTCCCTGACTCGACAGCGGCATCCTTCTTCGTCGTCGTCGGCAATACACTCCATGGCGAGATGCACTTTTCCCCCATTTCTAACCCACTTTACAACTTCCTCGAGAGCAGCTTGCTACTGCCGTCAAAGTAGCGTCTCCAGTATACCCGTCTCCCGTCTCGTATCCTTCGTCCTGGCAAATAATCATAAACTAACGACGCCTCGATGTTGGCCCACATGTGAGCCAACACTGCTGGATAGCGAATTGAATTGCATTTTGTTTTGATTTCAATTAAGTCTCACTGTGTGCCCTGGAAAACTTCACCATACCGTCGTATCCTGTGTAGTGTCGAGTATTATGTATACGCCCTGTTGCCTGTAGGGGTTGGGGAGTCCTTTGATTGCTTGCCTAATTGTTTTGCCGGCAAAAGTGCATCGGTGGGATGGGAGGGTATGAGAGAGCTCATTCCATCTGATTTGTAGCTGCTCGTCCTTCCGAATGCCGATACGATACCAGTCACCCTCTCTTGCTTTGGTAATCTATTAAAAATGTGATTTTAATGTTTTCCTAATATCAACCCTCCCCCCCCATCAGTCCCGTTCGAGGACATTTGTGGGCGATATGAGGTCCTGAGAAAATGTGTGTAACTCGATATTTATGTCTGCCAGCCGCAATTCCATGAAAAATATGTAAGCATGTGCTTGGTTGGCTCCTTTCCGCTTACTCCTGGCGTGGCTTGATGTCCTCTGGGGGTGGCTTGTGTGGGCGAATTGGCTTGTAATCCTTTCGGCAAAGTGAATTAATATCTTCGCCCGAGTTATTTATGGCCGCACATGTCGCCGAACATTAAAATGTCAAATTATCTTGTAAATATTTGGCCATTTGAATTTTATATGCCATGGAGGGCACTGTGGCGGTGTGGCGCTATGGCGCTCCTGCCGTTATCCTTTGCTCCTGGAATGGAATTTAATTAATGGATTCACTTCTAATCGTAATGGAAAGTAATGCGCTCGCGCAAAATTAAAAGCCAATTAAGCGTTGAAGAGTCTCGGGAGTCGTCCATGGCGGCCATACCATAATGCAGCCCAGCCAGTTGGAGCCAGGAGCCGAGCACGGTACCACGGTCCTGGGCCATAAATGCCAATCATTGCAGTCGGGCCCAGGATACTCCATATCCTTCGACTTCGACTCACCAGCCAGCCAGCCAGGCAGCCAGCCAGCAAAGAGGCAAGCGCGCAAAAATAACAATTCAGCTTTTAATTTCATTGCTTTGAGCACTCTCCTGGGATTCGCATGATAAATGGCCCTGGCCCAGGACCAATCCCACGACCAGCCAAGCCAAGCCCAGGCTAAAAAACGGGGCGCCCAGGATACGGCTGTGAGGGGGAGGGGGATTGGAGGAGTTCATTCACACTGGAGCTTGTGCAAATACAATCGCCGGCACAAAGTCGAATTTCAGTTAAGAACGAATCACCACCAAAAATAGCCACGAATGACTGTTTACTTTTCGTGGGAATTTCAAATATATATAAAGAGTATATACTTAACGCGATAAATACGATAAGAAATTGTATGTTTTAAACATATATTTGGGGGTTATTTTTGTAGCTTACCTTATAGAGAAGTTTAGAGTATTTTTTGAGGAATTTAGACTAAAAAAACTAAACTAGACTAAAAAATTTATAACTAGAATATACGATGTAATACCAGGTAATTAAAGCTGCCCCATACCCGGTACTTTTTGGTAATTATTTATTATAATCTCATAAAACTGACTATAAAAATAGTGATATTATTAATTTCCTGTATTCCTATTATGTTCTTTGAAATATTGATTATAAATTAAAAGTATTTACGAAGTATTTGAAGTTTGATTTAAGACTTAAGGACTTTATTTAAGAATTAACACTATATGATACCTGGTACCTTTTCTCAATAAAATCTTGTGAAACTACACTTTATATGATATTATGAAATCCTTATAATCATAATATTTATAAAAAAATTTATTAAAAATCTAGAAGGAGTATAACTTTAATATAAAGGCCTTTGCTTAAGAGTCAAGACTATATGATACCCGATACTTCTATCCCATGAATATAATCTGAATACTATCTGAATTTAATGAATATAATGATTATAAGTGCGACACCTTTTAGTTACTTTCCTCTTTTAAAAACCCTTTTAATATTTAACTAATTTTTATTTAAGAAATCCCTCAGAAATTAGTAAACAATATTTAATACTCTAATATACCCTAATAATACCCAACCAAAACCAATAATTTTATAAGGAAAACCCCTCCGCCACAGAAATATGGACATTAAAAACCTAACCCTAAAGTGTTTTCAAATAAAGTACTTGTGTAAGCATTCCCCGCCCCAAGGATTCAAGGATTGTTTTTGGCCAATTCCACGAATGGCTGGCTTTAACCCCTCTAATCGTTCCTTTAGCTTTATGTCCAACTTTTTTTCGACCTAGACACCCCCGGACAAACTTCCCCTCCTCCGATGGAAAAAAAAGGGAAAACCATAGCATTTTCGACTAAGCACTGACCCGCTTGATTTTGTTTTAATGAAATTCGAATAGAGTCCAGTCCCTCCTCCATCAGCCAGCCAGCCCCCCCTCTGTATTGGCAGCCATTTTGTATTTGCCTCAACATTTTAATCTAATTTCAATGTTCTCACCCAAAAAAATAACAAAAAAAACAAAAAAAAAATCGGAATAAAAAGTGAAGGGCAACGAAGTGTAAACGTTGAAAAGTTTCCTGGTAGCAGGACGCCAGGACACAGGGGTTGCTTCGATTCGCGTGCAACATTTTGTGGTCAGTTGTTAGGAGGGCGAGGGGTCATACCACACGCCCCATCGATCCAGGACTTTCATGCGGCTGTCAAAGCGTTCAAGTTAATGCCAATTGCAAAACGCTCTCAATTAGCTTTGATTAAATTGAAGTACTCCTTGGTCCGGGGTCCGGGGTCCTTGGTCCTTGGCATCCTTTCGTTTATTGGAAAACGGTATTAACATAACTTTGACAAGAGCTAGCCATAAATTATGGCAATTTCAAGGATACGGAGGACATATTTTAAGCGCAAAAAATTCCTACTTGAAGTTTTATTCCTTTTTTTGAAATCCTACCAAGACATGTTCTTTCAAAGGACATCTGCATGAGGTCCTGTTGGTAATTGTTGAGCTCTCTCTCTCGGCAATAAAGCATTCAAACTTGTCCTTTGATTAGGATTTGATTTGACCCCAAAATGTTTGCCTCTGACAGCTCCTCTTGGTCCTTTTTGGTTTAGAGGGAGGTTGGGGGGTGACGCTGCATCCTGGCTAGCAGACCCTTTTCATTTGCATTTTGCAGTTTGCCTTTTTTGCGCCTAATTAAGATGACCAACGATGCAGGCAGGACATTTACAGAGCCGGGGGCAGGAGGTGGAGGTCCTTTGAGCCAATTGCAACTGCAACGCTTGCTGTACAGTGTCCTGGCCTGGCCTGGCCTGGCTCCCCAGCTTATTATCTCATCTAATTTACGGGATTCACCCTTCACCCTTACCCCCTATACCCCCCTATATACTGTAGATCCTGCATCCTTTTTGGGCCAACTACTATCTGAGCCAAAAATTCGCACAACTAAATGAAATCAAGCCGTGTAATGAGCAAAAAACTTTCTAAAATGTGCCAATGCTCCACGAGCAAGATGGAGTCCATAATTTTCTGTTAACGAAAGGGCACCAAAGGCGGCACCCTGACCTCTGACCCCCTCACCCTCTCTTTTTCTCTCTCTCTTACTTACACTTCCAAAAAGTCACAGAAACAGAAATTGTTGGAAATTTTAAATTAGCCTTCATTAGGAGAGTATTTCTAGGATACCAGCACGTATCTTGGATGTAAAAAAAGCATAAAAAGAACTTTGCTTAAAGGTTATACTAGTTATGGTTTTTTGGTTTTTTCAGTGTATGTAGTATATTTTGATAAAAACAATTTCGCGGCATTGCGCTGTCTGTCTGTCTGAACAAAAAAAACTTGAAAAAAAGGAGGAAAACAAATTTTAATTGTTGCACTGCCCTGCCGTCATCCTGGATGGTGGATGCCTGCAGGATATCTGCTCTCCTGACTGCCTGCCTGGCCAACTGTCCGACTGTCCAACTGGCTGGCCAATGTTAATGTGTCCATTGTGCTGGTTAACAAAACCAATTTGCCTTAGTGGATTTTTATGTTGCGCTTTCGGGCTTGCAGCTTGCAGGTTGCAGGTTGCAGCTTCCGGGGGCAACACTTTTGTTTGCGGTTTCCCTCGCTTGTTTGTTTGCTTGTTCCACCATTTGTCAGTTTTCCTAGAGTCCCCCTAGAACCCCCTAGTACTCCCCCAAATTCTCCCACAGACCCCTCCCTTATATTGTTGGTTGGTTTCGGATGGTTATGAACTCTTGGGGCTTTTGGGTTCGTAGGCTCTTTATTTTGGTCTTAAATTACTGTAAGCTCTTATATTTTTGGACCATTTTTAAGAAAGTTTTAAGAACTTGGAAAAATTATATGATCTTTTTGGGTATATACTTTTAAAAATAATTAAAATAAATAGCTTTTCAATAAATATTTTTAAACATTTTTCAATAAATTCTTATCCTATTCTATTACAGATCTTAAGGATCTAGAGGCCTCTTGAAGTTCCTGAAAATAAAATTCAACAAAAGTGGATCGAAAAAAGTCTTAAAGAACATAAAAATGTCGTCACATTGGTTAATACTCTTTGGAATAGTATGCTTGCTAGCAGGTAAGTTTAAAAGAACTTTTATTTTATAAAATTAAAGCTTTAAATTAGCTTTAAATCATTAATTTTATTTAATCTCCAATAATATTCTAAATCTTCCAAGTTGGAGGCCGAAGAGCATCCTTAAAGTTAAAGAGAAAAACACACTTAGTGTCCGCTCTCTATTGGATTCCAAATTTTGGATCTCATTGCAGGTGCAAGCGAGAAAGTAGCACATGGGGGTGCCCATTCATTCGTGATTATCAGTGGATGCTGTTTTTTTTTGTTTCTTCCTCCATTTTGGTTCTTCTTCAAGTATTGGAGGAGGTACCGTAGCCCTTTTTGGGCTACGAGAGTGATGGTAAGCCTTCCACTCCTGCGCTCTCGTTCATTTCGACCATATTTCAACTGCGCAATTAGTTTTTGGAAGAAAACCAAGACCCGCTATTTTCCTCTCCCTGCAAGGTGCCTCTTTTACATCTCCACTGTTTTCACACCCTCTTATTAGCGCTAGGCAATGGAGCAACGAGCCTTCCACACCTGCGCTCTCGCCCAATTCCTTAATTCTACTGCGCAATTCGTTTTTGGAAGATCATTGGGAGCGAAGCAAAAGCCCGCTATTTCGCTCTCCCTCCAGTGGGTGGATCTTTTTCTTATCCCCTTACACACCACTCTCTTATTACCGGCGAGTAATGGAAAGCCTTCCACACCTGCGCTCTGGCCCATTTCCCATTTAATCATTTCAATAATGGAGAAAACATAGTAAAGCACAACGAATAGCTCTGCCATTTCCCTCTTGCGGCAGTGGGTGCCAAATTATTCTTTCCCACTCTTACTCTTATTAGTACACTCCAGCCTCTCATTAACGGCGAGCAATGGAAAGCCTCTCACACCTGCGCTCTCGCCGATTCCGTAATTTTCACTGCACGCGCTATGGGAATGTCAATTCCCATTTGCTTCTCGTCGCGTGCGCATGTGTTTTTTAAACCGTCCATCGATTAGTGATTTAATTTTAAAAAAAGTGGAAAAAAATATATCAGTTGGTGATAAAAAATAATCTAGTTTGCATTAAAAAGGAAAATTAAATAATAATTTTCATGAATATGTCAGTTTTTAGTGCCTGACTTGCCGCGTGTGTTGTGCGGTAGTGTGTGTGTGAGTGTAATGGTGTCAGGCATTAAAAAAAACCTTTTTTTTTTGTCGAAATACGGTAAAATGCGTGGCGTGATCGGGCGTGCGTTTCTGTGAGAGCAAATGGAAGAGTTATAAAGCATAACTGTAAACTAGGAATTAATCTAATGTATGAATATGAATGGGAAAGTGTGATTGGCAATGCACGTGAGTTTTTGATATCTTTTGTTCTCTTTATTCAATTATTTCATAATTATTCTATTTATTTAAGCATTACTAAATAGTTAGTTATTAAATATTTCTTGTGTTTTTATTGATTTTTAATCATTTTTAATTTATTTTTATAACCATACCATATTTTACCATTATTAGGCTGGACTGCCCTTTTGAAAACCCCAATATTTCCAAATGCCTCTTTTCAACCTCTATATCTCTGTCATTTTTCATCCAAGATCTTCGAGAGGAATTCTCTAACAGACCATTTCTATACCACTTTCTCATAATTCTGCATTAAAATTCTGAATTAAAATATCTTATAAATATTTTTTTGAATTTTTCTGAAAATCAATGTATGCCACTTTCTGACCCCCATTTACATCCGATCTTCAAGGAGATAACTCCTTTCGATTTCTAGAACAATTACCCCCAATTCTACATCAAAATTCTTGATTAAATATTTTTTATTTAATATTTTATTATTAACATTAGTATTAGAGTCTTAAAGTTTATAGAAATCAGGGTCAAGAAACGATGACATTTCCGTAACTATAATTTTGAATAGAACCAATAGATGGGAAGGGGGGAGGGGTGGACTTGGAGTCGCGCCTTTTGGCGGCAGACAGCGAGGTGCCACGCCCCACGCTGTGGCTTGTGCACCACCGCCTTCGAGGCGAACTTTGCATGCGCGGCACGTAGATACAATTTGGTTGGCCCGGCCAACTGCAGCTTCATCTCTGAAATTGTTTTAAATCATCTGGAGCTGGAGCTGTGGAGTCTGGAGTCTGGCAGCCCGGAGCATAAACTGAAATTTAAAATAACAAGCCGTAAGCGTGCTCTGATTATTGGGGGGCGTGGCGACGAGTCAGCAATAAAGGCGGAGAAGGAGAAGGAGGGGGTCAGGTCGTAATATCGATGGGGAAAATAGGAAAACAGCGGAAAATAGAAATAAAAATAGAAATAGAATTGGAATAAGGCAGCATTTCCAGAGCAAATTGAGCAGAAAAGCATGACAGTCGCTAGGTGGATGGGTATCTGCAAGATACAACCTGAAGAGAACACAATGCTCGTTAAAAATATGAGTAGTTGAAGATGGTTAAGTAACTGCAGGATTGTCTGTCCTGGCAGGACCTTCGAGGACCTTCCACCGCACCTTAAATGCTGATTGATGGAGCGAAGGATATCGAAGGACATATGACAAGGTCTTTTAAATGCATTTCCCAATAAAATTGAGTTTCATTTTCATTTGTTTGGGAAATGAGTTGATTAATTGAGGATTTTGGCCAAGAAATGTAAAAACTAATCAAGGAAGTTGTTTCTGATGAGCCATTTGATTGCTTAATAAATTTATTTTATTTCAATTCGTTTAGCATTCGCTTCAATTTTTCACCAAAAAAAAAAAACAACACCCACTTAATAGCCTTGGAAACCCTTGGCAATAGAGGGAGCAGGCTTTCGGAGCCTTTAGATCCTTTCGCTTTGATGAAATTAATGTTCAAGTCAACTGATGGCAATCAATAAAATGTCAACCGAGGAAAAATTGTTGGTCTGATTAAAGTCAGCTTAGCTTGGCTTGGCAGAAGGTCCTTCGAAGGCAAAAAAAATAAAAATAAAATAGCTGAAAGTAGGAGCCTGAGATCAAAGTAGGGAGACCTGATTGTTAGGCAAATGTTGCAATACAAAAACTGAAATTAAAATCCATCATAACCTTTAACCTTGTGACCTCAGAAACTAGACTCGAACTAGAATCTCGATATCTCTCTGAAATCTTCATAAATTGCTTGTAATTTCCAATTGGCGAGTCCTTCTGGGCTCATAAGCCTTGTCCGGAATCCAAGAATCCGGACATAAATCAGTTGAAAGTCCTGCCCCTGTCCCCATCAGGACTTAAATAGTTTCCAGAAACGGCCATTATGGTCGGAAGGATAGCTGGCAGGAAAATATGAGAAATGCCAACCGAATGCCGCGAAATGAACTCCTGACGACACTTGACTCTGACTCCTGGCTATGACTATGACTCTGACTAACTGACTGAATGAATGAGTGTCTCAGCCACCCACTCTGACTGTCTGACTCACTGAGTTGAGACGATGGGTGGTGGTTGCATAGTGGGGTTGTCCTTCAAAAGGATGGCCTTAGATGGGCGATGTCCCTGGGCCCAGGGGCCATCCTCCTCCTCCTCTTCTGATGCGATAAGAATAATTGGAATGTCAGTTTAGATGCGCGCACGTAGAACGCGAACCGAAAGCGACATATACACATCCGTATTCGCATCAGGCATCCGCATGACATGAGGGGGCGTGGCATGTTGCACATGTTGCAAAATCACAAGCAGAAGATGAAATACAGTGGTTGTAGATCAAAATTAGTTAATAATTATTAAAAAATAGTATTTAAATTATTAAAAATCTTAAAAATAAAAAAAATTAAAATAAAAACTTAATTTTTAGTAGCTTTAATTAAAGTTAGTATTTAAATTAAGAAAAGCGGATGAAAAGTTGCCATTACCGCAGTGCCTATAAGGTTTCAGGTTACAGGTTTCTTGTTGCAAGTCGTGTTGTTGTTGTTGTTGCTAGTGTTGCATGGCAGTGATGTTGCAACCTCTGAGCTGGCTGGCAACGCACTTGGCTGAACACAATGACACAAGTCTAATGACAAGCAGAACAACGACTATGACGACGATGAGTGGAGCGGAGAAAGACCCAGTGGAGAGAGGAGAAAGCCCAGTGTAGACTAGCGAGTGGCAAGTGGAGAATGGCGAGAAACGGCGACCGCAAATGCCACCGCCAGGAACAGGAATAGTAACAACAGGAAGAGGACACAGGAGGCCAGGATATGGCCAGGCCAGGCCAGGCAGGCTGGTGGCTGGTGTCCTGTGATGACACTGACAACAATGACAACGCTGACATGACATGCCACAAGGGGGGGGGGGAAGAGTGGGGTGGTGGGTGGAAACTTTTGGACAAGGCAACCGAATACCCGCGCACCCACTAGATACTTTCCTTCCAAAAAAAAAAAAAAACTACTCGAAAGTATTTCAAAAGTGCTTTTAAGTTCCTACCCAAAAAGAACCACTAATTAAGAGTATTATTAACTAAAAGTTTCTAAAGCTTAATAGCTTAAATATTAAGTTTAAAAATTTTAAATTAAAAAAAAAAGAGAGAGAATGGAGGGGGAGGAGGGGAGGAGGTTTTAAAAGTTAAAGTGAGGCTTTTAGAGAAGCAGTTTCGACTCCTAAAGGCTTTAAAGGTGTGGGAGTGGAGGGTGTCTGCCACCAGGAGGGGAGGGGAGGTTAGCTGCCACCAGGAGGGGAGGGGAGGTTATCTGCCACCAGGGGTGGTGAGGGGGGAGTAGCACCCAGTAGCCACTCTAAGCATAAATTCCTCTTCATGCTGCGGTCAGCAATATGCGTCCATGATAAACGAGCTGGTGTAGGGTTTTTCATCCTGCCAGGACATTGCAAGAGGATGCAAGTCCACCGAGGAGAGAGGGGGTGCGGGGGAGGAGCAGGACTAGGCCATCCTTTGGTGGCCATTTATCGCCAAAATTGAAATTGAAAATCAGGCAGGCGCAACGGACATTGGGAATCCCACAATGGAGCCTCGAGAGAGAGAATCTAGTGTGTCCTGGTGGCTAGGATCTAGGATCCTGCATTTGATGGCCACTTGAGGGATGTG